CTGACACGTTTTTCATGAAAATCCATAATTTTTGAGGAAATTTAGCAAATTTAGCAACCCCGAAAGTGAGAGGCAAGGGGACTCACGTAAATCAAGCATCCCGATGGAATCAGATTTTCGTCACGTCTATGCGATTTTTTTTTACTATCTACCTCAATAAATAATCAAACATATATAATCTTATATACATATATACATATATATGGGGCATTCTTTCTCAACTTTACACCCATGCTGCCCATTTTCTATTTAATCTAAAAATTTTTGAAAAAATCTTAAAATTTACAGAAAAATGTAAGCTTTCCAATGGCGCGTGGCAAAATTATCAAATTCAATTGGATCATACTTAAAATTTTAAAAACCGAAAAAAAATAAAAACGGTAATTATTCAAGTGTAGCGATTATTCATTCGACGTTTTTCTCTTCCAATTAACACTTTCGAGTACTCTGTTTATCTGTACACTGTTACATGAGTCTAAACTAAAATGGCGGATCCAATATGGCCGCCAAAAATTTAAAAAATTTAAGAAATTAAGGCTCCTGGTTTCATAGTCGTGAACTCCGCGTTGACAGTGGCGACATAATTGTGGTAGGAATAAGAACCCAGTCGAATTTACCCAGTCGATTTATCGTATAAGTAAATAGTGTAACAGTTTGACCTAATCAATTGGTTAGGTCAAACAATTTGATAAAAGTAAATTACTGAATAACATACAAAATGCTAATTTATAATTTAAAAATTTGTTTACATAAACTTTCCTGCAAATCTGTATATATCTAATCATTAAAAATTTTTAAATTAAAAAATTTTCTTATTTTCCCGATAAATCTATATGTAATGTATTCATAGTAATCAATATCTAAAGTAATATTATATGTACTGTAAAGTAATATAATATGTACCATATATACATATATATGTAGCTCAGGTTGCGGTCGGGCAAGTGAGAATCGCTACGTCACGCATTCGTGTGCGCTCAGCTGTTCGACTAACAATGATCTTGTCTCGCTTCCACCAGCGCAGCGTATGACACAGCATATGATAAATCAGCGTTCGGAATTAGTTGCACATTTCGGGCCGATTTTCGAGACGACGCCTCCTGTTCCCTTACTACCGCCCGGCCGCTGGCGGCCGAGCCGCCGATAGCTCTGGCTCAGGAGCGTTTTATATTAGAAATAGGCTGGATTGTTTAGGCATTTCTCAGAAAATCGTAACATTTTCTTCACTACATAAATAATGCTTATTTTCATTAATACATAATATATATGTATTTAATTATTAATAAAAATAAATATTATTTATATAGCAAAGAAAATATTACTATTTTCTGAGAGGTGCCTCAACAACCCAGCCTATTTCTTATACAAAACGCTCCTGCGCCAGAGCTATCGGCGGCTCGGCCACCAGCAACCGGGCGGTAGTGGGGAAACAGGAGGCATCGTCTCGGGAATCGGCCCGAAATGTGCAACTAATTCCGAGCGCTGTGATAAATACTAAGAAACAAGCGTTTCTAATAAAGTAAAGCGAGTCAGCGAGTCATTGGAATATTAGAGATCTTGCGTTCGAGTCTTGTTTCTTGCAATTTTTTTCTTTTTCGTACATAATCAAGTAAATAATCAGATAATGTTTTTTACTAAAAATATTTTATATTTATTAAAATTATTTTATATTTTTTATTTATTGGAATAAAATGCAAGTTAAACATATGCCAAGATTATTAATAAACATAGAATATTTTTTTGAAACATTAATATTTGTCAAAATCATAATTTAATAATTTAGTTGATTACTGTTAGAAAGTAATGAGTAAAAAAAGTTTTAAGAAACAGTTTTTTTTTCTTTTCCAGAGGTAAATGCCAAGTAGCTAAAGAAGTAAGGCGAGTGACTAAAAGATATTATGTTTCTTGTAATTTTTTTCTTTCTCTTTCTTTTTCTTTCTCTACATATCCCTATTGTTCAATTTTCGAATAAGTTGCGTTTTGACTGATACGATTAGAATGCGGACGTTCATGTAGGATTCTGTGCGAGTTACTCGAACACTTGCGCTAAAGTGAGATAGCAAATGCAAAAAAATGTTGTAAAATTTGGCAATTGTAGAGGTTTTTATATTATTCAGTAATGAACAAAAACATTATATTAACATTTTCTAACTTTATAAGATTGATGTTATATTATTATTTATTATGATTTTTTATTATACATTTTTATTTTATTTTAACAAATTTTCGAGCGAGTTTGATGCTAAGTTGGCGACAATTTGCTTTCAATTTATTTTATGGGTAGTAGACATCGCGCTGTAGTACAAACGGTTGCAATCATATATATCCATTAGAGAATAGTTAATTTCAACTCTAACGGTAAGATATGAATGTATCCGTGTGCACATATACGCTATCTCATTTGTCCGATTTTATAGTATACAAGACAATTAAATTTTATATATTCAAGTAGCAGCATATTTTACATTGTGTTATGATTTACTGCGCCTAGCGCAGAATGCAGGTAGAATGGAGCATATATTTTATTTGTATGTTATAAACTGCGCTTAGCGCAGAATGCATTTCGACAATAATAACTGCGTCTAGCGCAGAATGCATTTCGACAATAATCACTGCGTCTAGCGCAGAATGCATTTCGACAATAATCACTGCGTCTAGCGCAGAATGCATTTCGACAATAATCACTGCGTCTAGCGCAGAATGCATTTTACATTGTTCAACATTATTAATTTTGCAAAGCGCAAAATTTTTTCATTTTTTAATCCAAATTTGTTTTTTCATTACTTCAATGTGTTTCAATACTTATCTTCTATTATTTTTATTTACATTTATTTGTCCGTCTTTTCTTTTTCTGCAACTTTTTGTCTCTTTGCTTCAATGATATATTCAGGATCACGAATTGGCATGTTTCTCTCCCGTCTGGGATCAAGTAATTCCGGTAGTACGCAATCTTCATAAAATTGAATCAATTTGGAAAGCATATTTTCTTTCCAGAAAGTATCATCACGTATAATCTTTTCTATTTTTAATCCTAATGGTGTCCAAAGTGCGAAAACGCAGTATTGTCTTTGCGTGATATGTAATTGCCTTTGTATTTGGTAATAATATATGTGACTGCGTTTCATTTCCTCATCTTTTTCATTCTTATATAATGATCGCAGATTTGAAACATTTGCTGCAATTGCATCTTCTGGTGTTAATAATCGTGCTGCGAAAGGACACTTAATCTCCACTATTCCATCGTCTCCTATTAATCCATCTGGCGAAGCGCCTAAAAATGGTATTTCTGAATCTATAAATAATCCACAACAATTAATATTAATATTTAGTGCCTTCTCAATGCTTTTGCGTGCAACATCCTCACATTTTGTTCCATATTGCACTGATTCCACATTTAATTCGTATGGATATATTATTGACGTAACTCTTGATGCACAAGAAGTACTTTTTCTCATTTTACATATGTGACCAAAATGAGAGGCGGTGATTATTTTTGTACAATAATATCGCCAAATACCGCTAGCTGCTTGTTCCTTAGTTTCTTTTTCTATTGCTACTCGCTCTATTTGCCAATTTT